TGCTCCTGCCAGATCCAGTTAAAAATAACCAGAAGAATAGCAAGAGAGGCAGGAGAGAGATGGCGCAACATCTCACAATGAACATCGACAGTTCTGCCTGATGTACTATCAGACCGATGAAGAGCAAGTTTGAGTTCCACTAGTGTAAAGGGGCGATTATAATCATTGAGACGATCACCCAAAAGTCGCTCTGCCCGAGACTTTATGACCAAGAAGGCAGGGGAAGAAACAGAAGTGCTAGAAGCACAAGAAAAGCTTTGACCGAGAGCATCAGCAACTTCCTGGCCATTGGAGAGCAAGACGGAAAGGGGATGGGAAGCATACCTCCCAGTGACTTTCCGAATCTTGTCCCATACAGTTTTGGAACTGGTGGTAGAAGAGTTGCTAGTAATGAACTTAATCCAAGACACCTTTTTGCTTTGACGTCGAATCTGCCGAGCATGTGCACGGGCCCACCGATAAACAATTGCGGTTAGAAAGAGAGGGATACCGTCGGAAGGTATCCCAGGCCCGTTTTTGAGCCTTCTGTGCCTCCTGGCAGGCAGGACTCCACCATGGACGAAGATACCGTGGAAAACGTGTCGAGGTCTTAGGAATAGAATGAACAGCCGCCTGGAAAATACAGTCAGTCACTGCAACCACACAGTCATCTATTGATGGCAGACAGACGAAGGCAGGATCAAGTTCAGAGAGAGAGAGGTGAAAGATGGCCAGTCAGCCTGATACAGCTTCCACTACGGCACTTGGGTCGGGTGGCATCGACCATGGCCAACCTCACCCATAATGATAGGAAAATGATCACTGTCGACCATCCAAGTAAAGAGAGTGAAAAGTGAAGGGGAGCAAATCGAGAGATCAATGGCAGTAAAAGACTGACTAGGTGCATGAAAATAAGTATATGTTCCAGTACTGAAGAGAGAAATGTTGTGATCCAAAAGCATATGCTCTATGGAACGACCCCTCCCATCAATATCAGCACCACCCCAGAGGGCATTTGTCCCTTAAAGTCTCCCAGAAATAAAAAGGGAGGTGGCAACTGGTCAACGAGAGCATCAAGGTCCGATTGATCATACAAACACTGATGG